TCACTCGGCTACACTGCCACGAGTACCCTTTAGTCACAGGGTATAAGTGAATTTGAAGGAAGGTAAGGCCTCTTTGCTATATCACATTCTTTTGGTGGGAGTGCCGATGAAGCAAACATATGTTTGCTATAGCAATCGACTACATTACTTATATTCGTATGATAGTAGGGTTTCTAGACTACCAGTAATTCGGTGTAATGAGATGTATTCGCGGTTGCACTGTCGCGGTTCGACTCCCGCTGATGCTGTTGATAAGACCGATGCGAGGTTGAAACTGCAGTTCACTTCTGTCTGGATGAGAACAACTTTTGGGAAAGCAAGGCTATGTGAAATTCAATGGAAACGTCAGCTAAACTCATATGATTGTGGGAAAATTCTACTGCCAGTCCTTCATCACCTTAGATGAAATAGGGTGAATAGATCTCATTACAAATCTGTATAGCCATTACAACCAACAACCGTGAAAAAGATTTAGTGAGTGGGGCAGGCCCAAGTTCATATATATTCAATCATAGTCATTTATGTGTATTCCTTTTCAAATGTACTTTTTCACATATCCATGATGAAACTGAAAATAACCCATAACAATAATTGTCAAACTCATTTCCATTTCGAGTGCAAGTATTTGGTTACGATGTTCGAAGTTCAATTCACCAAAATACGGCGTCTATCCCAGCTGTTGAATGACCTTACGGGAACATTCTTGTTGACACCGTTTCTGAGACGATCTCCTTCGATTCGGGTGAAAGCGTGTCAAACTTTCGTGCATCAAGTGACGGACGGCATCGGTGCTGGGTATCATTCATACAACATATTCGATCTAACGAAGCACGACAACTAAGGCTGTTCATCATATGAAGGAAGACATTTTAGTATGTTTTCACCGAAATCGAAAGAGATCGTTTCGAAAACGGCGTCAACAAGAATATTGCAGTAAAGCCGATCGACAGCTGTGCAAGAGGAGTTCGACGTCGTCTTCTGGTGGGATCGATCTTCATATCAATTCACCAAATCCTTCACTTCGAAACCCAACTTTTCTTCGTATAATGACACATTACTCGGCACACCTAATCCCCCCAACCCTGTGCACGATGGTACCACATTTGCAAGCAAACTTCCCTTCGTCTAATGGTAGAGACTGGTGAGTTGTGATGACTTTTAACTTACGGCCAAGGCAACACATGCAAGACGATCAAACGTAAATTCATGTGACCCAATGGAAGATGTATATAACACTATAAATCAGATTATACCAATTTTATTTCAAATGGATATTATACTTGGTCTCTGATCTACTGGATTATGAATGTTGTCTTTTCTGCAAAAAGTCTTTCTTGTGGCATAGGAAGCGACAGCATAGATTCATGAGGGGTGTCATGAAATGATTACAACAACGATGTGTGCGAACTGGTTATGAAGTCTAACTTATCTACG